TGAAGGGAATTAAACAGAGCAAGCAGAGCTAGCAAAGAGTTACAAAGTTTTATCCAAGGTCAGCTTTGCCTGTTAGTGGCAGAATTGGAAATAAAAACCAGGACTCCCCTTCTTCTTCCTGTCCTGTGCCCATTGGACCAAACTGCTCTCAATCAATAGGCAGCCAGTTATGACGGATTCACATTCTACCCAGTGTCAATAAAAACAAAAATCAAGTTTTAATCAAAACACATAACCAAGATCTACATTTCTCTTGGTCTCAATAAATCTTCCCCAAAGGAAGCGGGCTAAAATTCTTTACATTTAAAAAATGAGCTCCGCTGGGACTCCAAATTCCAGTTCGATTTTTGAGCCGAGGCATTTTTTTTCTTTATCATGCACTTGGTGCTGTAGTGTGATAAGAGCCCCATGCAGACCATAAAACTAATTTATCATCTGTAAGGTGTACAAAGAAAATGGTAGCTGCCTACTTGTCTGCTTGACATATGAGGTCATTTTTGCCGCTAGCTTTCTAATACTGAGCAATTTTATCAGCTATTTATATACATTAATTGTGGGTACCCATATGCTCAATGTTGTATTTAATAATGCATTGCACTGAATATGCATTCCTTAAGTTTTAGCATGCAGTGAGCATCTTGCATTTAACTATTTGGTTTGCCTATTAAAGGCCATTATTCAGCTATGCCATGTTACCTTCTCTTTCAACTGAATTTATGTTTCTTTAAATCTGGTTCACCCTACTGAAACCCATTGAAGTGGACAAGGCCACCTCACATGTCCCAAGGGCTCCAAGCAAAAGCAAGCAGAGGAAGTGCCATGGTCCACTTAATAATACTCAAGCAAAAGGATTATTTGATGAATCCCTTTCCCCAAAGGACAGCAGCATATTCACGCTTCACAGTGTAAATATAAATACAGTTCTCAGGCAACAGAGACACGGGATGCTAGATAAAGTGTGAAAACTACCGCAGCAAACAGCCATGCCACAGTGATTTCTTAACTAGCAAGGGGAATCAGTTCAAACATTCAAAGCAACCCCAACCCCCTACTCCTCAAACTGTCCTTAGTTTTGTTCCCCAGAAAAGAAAAACAAGTCCAGGCTCTGCAAGATCCTGGGCTGACAGGTTACACTACCCTTTCCTCTATGCTTTGAATACCCACTTCCTGATAAAGACCAGACCATCAACCACCTCAGGAGACATCCCCGACAAGCTCACATGTCACCAGTGTTAACATTTGCATCATAAAATTAACTGCTGTGGGACCAGATTTTAAATGGTCCTGATCAAAGACAATTTCTATGGGTATCATCATTTATAAAGTATTATCCCTTGAATTTCTTGGCTCAGAATAAACTTTCAGAAGAGCTTTTGTTACCCAGAAGAACAAAGAAAAGACATAGTTTTGATCATGGGAAGAGTGGGGTGGGGACCAAAGAAACCAGGCCCAGGTAAAATGTAGCTGATATGAACCTAAATATGGGCAAAGCCATTCCAGGGGCCCAGCTGGTGAGCTCAGCATATGACAAAGGGAAAAGAAGGTGCTGAGCTTGTCATCGGGGCAGAAAGATAATTGCACTTGTTCTCTTGCCCCAGTCTGTGATCTGTGTAGTTTGCATCACATAATCCAGCATTGAACTGTTACCCTTCTAAAACTGGATAACAGAAAATGAATAACAATGTGGGTCCCCCAAATCCTTCCTTGAATTCTATTGCAAGGTGTATATCCTGATTGTTTGCCTGATACATCTGTTATATGAACGGAAGCATCCACATATCAATTATAAAAACCCATTTTTCTTCTGTAGAACTCTGCACTTATAGCTTTCCTGCAGGAAAACAAAATAAAAGAGCAGGCTAGGATGGACCCTCCTTTGGAGCCTTCCGATTATCAAGCCACCAAGCAGGACTTTCTGAGTTTGCTCAGCCTTCCAATGCTAAACTTTTTGCTTGACTTTAATAATTAATTAAAGTTCTTTTGGCTAAGCCCTGGCACTTATTTCAGGAAGGTCTGCATCAAAAAAAAAACAATCTGTGTGATTGTTCCTAATTCTTTCAATGTCCCCTGTTCCCATCCCAGCTTTTATCACATAACCTTCTATCTAAAATCCTTCTTACTCCTCAAGGAAACAGCCTAGGGTCCAATGCCAGCTCAGACATTTGCCCAGCCCTATGAAGGGCTTGCTCTTCATTCTGGTTAAATAGCCCTGAAAATCCAGACACGTCTGGATTTGCACATAGAAAATAGACATACCCTCTTTATAAATATTGTCTAGAACTGAGACTTACTCTTGTTCTTTCAGGACAATCTGAAACACTCCAGGACTAGAACATTTGAGCAACTTTTCCCCACAATTATCTAAAGTTGGAAGATCCTATCCTTGCTACCTACTCATTGTGTTAAAACCATTGACAAATTTATCATTTTTTTTTCTATATTATAGGTGTACATGATATGTTTTTAAGACCAATGCAGAGTCATTCTGCAGCCTGGTCAAGATGCACATCAGGGAAGTAGATGGTTGGGGAAAAAATTTCCATCAATAACCTTAGGAGCTTCATCATTAAAAAATTTTAAACATTAAATTAAAAAATTTAAGAGTTTTCTTAGCCCTAAACTTTCTTTTGTTTCAAGTTATATCTGCTTCCTTTGTTATTTTTGTGTTCTTTTCCTTATTCCTACACCTTTGTATAATTTTAGACCTGCACTTTATTTTTCATACATTTTTATAACTATGAAATGCAAAACTTGGTAATTAGGCTAATGAAATCATTGAGGTCAGGGGAATGCGATGGATCACCCAGAAGCCTTTACAAAATGAGAAGAGAAAGAATTCAGGAGTATAGTCAGAAAACCCAAGAGGTTAATCAGACAGAAAGAACTCAGGGGGCACAGTTTTCAAGGAGCTAAACAAGGAATATTCTATCACATAAGAAGAGGATTTTGGTCTCAAATGTAGCTGATGGGGTCAGGCAAAGTGTCCCCTAAGTTTAAAAAGAGAAAGATCCTTGATGAACTTTACAAGATGATCTGCAGTCAGTGGTGACAATGACACCCAGGTGACAAAGGGTTAAGAAGAAAATTGGGAGGTGACCTTAGTGACTGAGGATAAAGACTCTCAAGAATGTTGATTACAGTGAAAAGGAGGAATAAGAGACTGAAAAAAAAAACAGTTTTAATAAGAGGAGAACATTTTTTAGAAGATAAGGAAGATATGGAGTATCAAGAAGCCCTGAATTGCCAAAACAATCTAAATAAAAACAAAAACAAAGCTGCAAGTCTCTTACTTCCCGATTTCAAAACTTACTATAATGCTAACGTTAATCGAAACAGTGTAGCACTGGAATAAAGTTAGCTAGGTAAACCAACAGAATAGAAGGAAGAGCTCAGAATTAAATCCTTTCCTATGTGGTCAAATAATTTGTGACAAAGTTGCCAAGACCATTCACTCGGAAAGGACAGTCTCTTTAACAAATGGTGGCAGGAAAGCTGGATATTCACACGCAATAGAATTAACTTGGGCCCTTCTCGAACACCTATATAGAAGTTAATTAAAAACAGATCGAGGCATGGGGATATAGTAGAGTGCTTGCCTCTCATGCACAAGGCCCTGGGTTCAATACCCAGCATCAAAAAAAAATTAAAAATAAAATAAAAAAGACCTAAATGTAAGAGGTAAAACTATAAAATTCATACAGGGGAAAACACAAGGAAAATTCTTCCCCAAACTGGAATTGGCATTGATTTTTTAGGCATGACATCAAAAGCACAGGAAAGGTGAGAACCAGAGTGCTGCAGCCACAGCTGTAGCAGTACAGAGAAGTAGTTTGGAGTATCATCAGGTGCCCTGTGGAGGCAAGGGGCCGACCTGAGGAGACCACTAGGAAGTTTTCATTTACAAGCTGGAGAAAGAGTATGACTGGCTGACCTGGCCCTCTGACCAAGACAGCTTTTCATTGTTCTCTGGAAAGTTAAACACTCTTAACAAAATCCCTAAGCATAAGAAAACACCTGTGTTCCACAACCAGGTCATTTATTCCTCTGGTGTTGTCCCCAGACCCAAGATGAAGTTCTCATGTAGCAGATGAAGGAAGGACAAGTACCTGTTTTTAGCCATGAGACAGTCCCTGGCCATCTGAGAACCAACTTGACCCTAAGGTCGAAGAGCAGGAGAAGCAAGTAGCAGTGGACACTGTCCACATTGGTGTTGATGGAGCTCAGCAGCAGATTCCAAGCTTGAATAAAATGCACTCAAACCTCTGGAGAAAATCAGCAAGGATGAGTGAGAATCATAAAATGAAGGTCTCTGGCCAAACAAGCAGCCCTTTAACCCTGAAGACAGCAATACCTTGGTGGCAGCTGTTGCCTTTGGGAAGGGGCTAATTAGAGACCATCAGGCAGCAGTGATCCTGGTCAATCAGAAGCTGGGACAATCCTTGCAAGAGCATCAGGACCACAGCTAGTAGAGAAGGCAAAATCTACAAGCCAGCAGTGGCCATGCCCATGGGATACAAGTGTCTCAAGCAGGTCAACCATGGAATATGATAAGTAGAAAAAAAAAAAACATCAAGTCAGCTTCAATGTATCCCTACCAGTGTTGAGCATGGACAGCAGCCACTACTATCAAGGGGGTCTTTGCAGAGTTTGACAGCATATTACCTTTTATTCAAGGCTCACCTAGATGGGTACAATTAAAAAATAAATTAATTAATTAAGCATGGGCTTTCATCAACAGACAAATCTCTGCTGGTGACTATATGACTTTGGGCAGTGGACCTAAGTTTTCTCATTTGTAAATGATGATAATACCTACCTCAAGGTTTTATGAGAATTCAAATGAGAAAATGACTATACAACACTTAGTACATGGTGTATGAAATAATGGGTATTCAATAAATTATGGTTTCTAGAGCCCCCCTCAAAAAAAATGGTGCAGCCACTGTGGAAAACAATATGGCAGTTCCTAAAAAAAAAAAAAAAAACAATAGTATGCATAGGATTACTAGATGACCCAGCAATTTCAATTCTGGTGGTATACACTCAGAAAAATTAGAAGCAAGGATCCACAAAGACATTTGTACATTTAACATTTATATCAGTATTACTCATAATAGTTGAAAGGTGGAAACAAACCAAGTGTTCACCCATGAGTGAATGGTTAAATAAAATATAGTATGCACATTCAGTAGATCATTATTGGCCTAAAAAAGCACAATTCTGACACAGGCTACAACATGTATGAATCTTGAAGATGCAAAGAAAGGTGAAATAAATCAAACACAAAAGGATACATATGGTACAATTCCATTAAAAGGAGGTATTAAAGTCATCAAATTCGTAGACAGAAAGTATTATGGTGGTAACCAGGCTCTGGGGAGAGAAGAAAATGGGTTTAGGTACTATTAATGAGTACAGACTTTTGTTTCGTTCGGGAAGATAAAAACTCTCAAGATGGATGTTGGAGATTGCTGTACTACAGTGTGAATGCACTTTTTAATGCCACGGGCATATACATTTAAAAAATGGATAAACAGTAAGTTTAAGTGCATATTTAACCACGAGTTTTTAAAGCTGAGGGAGATTATCTAAAAAGAAATTCACTGCTACGAATCCATACAAAGCATGTAGGTAAAAACAATACTTATTTATCACATGAACATTGCATGACTTCCTTATGATTAGCAGACGCTAAGAATCCCCTTTTTTCAGACAAAAATACTGAACTGGAGAGAGGCTAAGAGACTTGTCCACAGCCTAACGTGGTTTGTGATTCCTGTCCCAGTGTCCTTTCCAGAAAACCACAGAGCCACTATCAAGGATACTGTGTAAACACACTAGTCTACTTCTACATCTTCCCATAACACCTTCCACAGGAGCCTATCCCTTCCCTAATGCACATCCCTACTTCTTCTCCTCCAGGAAACAGATCCATTATATATATATATATATATATATATATATATATTAAGTAGAATTATATATCATATATATATGATATATAATCCCTCCTCTAAGTGGTTTGCTATTGTCCCCTCTCTCCCTTTAAAACATTCAACACTGTCTTTGGAACCATTTTATGCAATTTTAGTACCTATGGTCAAAGGAGAGTAGCTCAGTGAAACTCATGATTTATCTGACTTTGATTCATGATGTCCTTATCCAATCTCTTTCTAAAAGGAATGAAGAAATAGATATGAACATGCCTCAGAAATTGTACCCCATTCTCCTGCTTGTTGTCATTGCAATCCATCCAGGGCCATGCGAAGCCATATTAGTGCCTGAGATAAAAGGGAAATTAGTAATTCTGATCCTGTCTAATTTCTAAATTTTGATCTTTTGTTTATCATGGATATATGAATCAATTTTTATTTTCTAAAATATTGCATTAAAACGTGATTTTTGAGCCAGGTGCAGTGGAGCACACCTGTGATCCCAAAGGCTCGGAATGCTCAGGCAATAGGATTGAGTTCAAATCTAGCAGCAACATAGTGAAACTCTAAGCGACTTACAAAGATCCTGTCTCTAAATAAAATAAAATATAAAAATGGGCTGAGGATGTGGCTAGGGGTTAAGCACCCCTGGGTTCAATTCCCACTACCAAACATATATACATACATACACACACACACACACACACACACACACATATAATATGCATGTATATATACACACATACATACACATATATATAATATATATGTGTATATAGATACATATACACATATATATTATTTTGTTTATTAGGATTTCTTTTAGTGCTCCTTAAATGTTTGTGACAAGTGTCCCTCACTCATCTCACCCTAGTCCCCACCCTAAATTCACCTCTTCAAAGAAAAAAAAAATGTAAAGAAAGAAAAAACAGAAAACTGCCTTTCCTGAATCAGCTAATAAAGCAAAATCAAGTCAGGTGCCAGTCAAGTGTTTCATGGATAAAAGCGTGAAAGAATCAGCTGTAACCCTACGTGGAGAACAGCCCAGCGTCAATGTCTTTCATGTACCTTTTTGACAGGATCGTTTCAACCGAAAATCAAAAGCTTATATTTAAACACCATAAATTGCATATCTATGAAAAATGAAGTCCCTACAGGCTAACTTTCTGCATTTTTGTTCTTTTTTAAAGAAGGTATTAGAGCAATTTGGGCTGTCTTCTTAAAAGATTTTTATTGTTGTGTGATAGGTAGCAGGAAGCTATCAACTGAATATGTAGCCAACAGGTCAGAAAGAAAACAATGTGGCTTGACTGCTAAGGATGTCAGTTCTGTCTCTGACTGACCAAGGTGCGGGTGTATGTGTGTGTGTGCAAATGCTTTGCATCTCTGCACCCCAGGCCTTGTCTATCAGCTCCCAGCCAAGCAACCTGAAATAGCTTTGTCTTTTAAATGCTACAGAGCTTTTCTCTTTGACTAGGAAATCTGTCAGGAGACCTGGCAGAACATTCTCCCACTCGGTGACAGTGGGGGTGAGAAAGTCTGCTCTTCCCTTTCCGAGGAATGCATTTGGAAGAGGTTTGAGAAGGCTCTGGTCAGATCTCAAGGAGCAGTACTGTTGAGAGAGGAAAAACTGTCTCCTCATTCGTCAGGCAAGGCAAATGCCATCACACTGCAGGCACAGTGGGAGAGTGGAGATAATGAGGTATTTTGAAACAGCAGACATTGTCAGAAAGACAGAAATTGGGAAAAAGGCTGAGGTGGTGAGTGATTATTTCTCAAAGGAGCAATGGAACACAAAATGGCTCTCAGTTTGGGTTAAGCAAGGGAGATGAGAAAAGGAAGTGTGTTATGAATTATTTACTACTGGATATAGTTTAGCTTTGATCCCAGTCCTAATTGTAAGGTTGTCTTGGTATGTATAAACTGAAATAAAAGAGAGTTGCCAACTTTTCTGACTGTGTATTCCCATGGATGCACATATACCATGTTGTTCCTTAAAGATATACATAGGCTGAGTTTAGATTCATTTATAAGCTATATAATTCATCAGGTACTGGGAAGGTGATCTATCCTTCAATATGGTCTTCATCTGGGCTAAACTGTCTAAAATTCTGTCACTAGAGCTGCATTAATTTGAGTTAGTCATGATCTTTTTATTAAGTCTTTTTATTTAAAGTAAAACTGCACAAAGATAGAGGTAGTATTTATTAAGTGAACACTGAATTGTGTCCAAAAAAATATAAAAGTTTTTAGTATTTTCAATGGCTACCCAGTGTCCTGAATCACCCAAGACACTGTCAGATTTCATCTATAGTCCTGAAATAACATCAACTTTTACTCTTAAAAGTCATATTAAATAGTGAACTATATTCTCATCATATCTCAACCATTTTTTTTCAATTGGTCTATATAAAATAGATTAATTCAAGACCTGAAGAGACCCTAGACAAACAGGACAAAATGTTTGGCTGTCTCAGAGTTCTGAAGAGGGAACACTAATGAGAAATGTCATCTATTTCATAATTTTGCTTCAGTCCTGATCTGATCCAGAACATCACTCTATCCAGACTTTGTTGCCAGCCCTTTCCTCATCGTATGAGGAATGTAATTCAGCACCTCCCACACTTGGTTACAAGCAGTCTATCAATTGCAAATGAAAAATCAATCAAGAGAAGCATGCAACAATTAAATAACAAACTATTCAGGAGACTGTGCTGGTCATCTGCTAAATAAAAACTCCTGAAGTTTACAAAAAGCTGAAGGGGCCATCATTGCTGCTATCAGAAGGAGGTGTAGAAAAACCTGGATAACTCACACCTAGATAATTTTCCCACAAGAAATGGGAACTTGTTATTGCATCAATTCAGTGGCATTAACTGAGCAGGTATCAGACACTTCTCTGACCCTTTGACTAGGCCAGACATTAATGTGGGGTTCTTTTATAATACTCCATACTTCCTTTCTCATATTCTCATACCATGCTTTCATGTCTTTATTCTTAAATTAGCCATCTTTCTGCTAGGATGTAAACCCTTTGGTCATAAAAATAATTAACAGGTATTACAGCAGGCAATGGTCAAAGCACTTTGTATCAATTCAATAAATCCTCAAGGTCTCCCCAACAATGAGACTCATCTGTCTTCTTGTTAAAAAAAATGAGGCTCAAGTAGTTTTTTCAAGGTTATACATATTCTAAGAGTTATAGCTAGCATTCAACTTCAGATTGCTTTAAACCATTATGCCACATAGTCCGCCTTGGAGAGCAGCAATCAGATTGTCATAGACTTTTTTTTAATTCTTTTTTTTTTTTCAGATTGTCATGTTCTTTACCAGTGTTCCCAAAAAGCCTAACAGAGTGCTTATACCATAATTGAGGCTCAAAAATATTTGAGAAAAGAATAAATACATGAGTAGCTTTAGAGCCTGGCCACTAGAACAGGTGCAATTCCCAAAGAGCTAAATAAGTCACAGCTGCAGCCTTCTCGGGGCTCACACTCTATCAACCTAGAAACCTAGAAAGCAGAGTCAGTAACATGAAAAATTTGAATGATGTTTTAATTATTTGCCTTGCACCCCATTTTTTAAAAACACCGCATTGTTTTTAACATCAAAAGATATGTCATTATGATTGAGCTTAAATTTAGTGTGATGTTTTGCAAAAGTATTGTGTTGGAGGGAAATACAGGAGAATTGTAAGATATATACTAGGCTCAAAAGTCACTTTATTTTGTTGATGTCACAACACATACACTTAAGAAGAAAATTAATTGTTATGCTGATTTTCATCCCTCTTGAAGATGGCAGATTGTGTCTCAGTAGTAGATCAGTGAACAGAGGGAATTGTGAACTAGACTAGTTGATGTGGTTCTGGGGAGAACAAGGCTAGGTAGCTAGAAATTAATGATATACTGTGATATGATATCCTGGGAGACTTCAACATGTTACAAGTATGGTGCCTTTTCAAGTTTTTGAAGTCTTAAGTTGTAACGAATGACTAGAAGGGAGGTATGAGAACATTTCAAAAACGACGGAAACCATACATAAAGACATGGTAATCATGTCTTTAGGGAACTTTGAAAAAGAAAAAAAAAAAACAGAGCTGACTATAGCCAATAGTCATGGTGGTGGAGGGAATAAAAGAATGAGACAATAATACTGGATTTAAATGAATTAGAAATAAGAAGCCTCCAATTAGAGCTTGTCTGTGGAAAGGTATTCAATATTACAGTAGATGGCCATCCTTCCATCGTTAATGTAGAAACTTTTCGAGTCGTAAACGTGCCTGGAATTATGTACTGTGCCTTAAATCCTCTGCTGCTTGCCAATACTCTATGAGATGAATTCTCAACATTTAAAGAGACCTTTCAGTTCTCGAGTCTCCAACTACATGTCAACTCCATCAGCACCACACTGACACCATGATGACTGACGTTGGTTTTG